TCTTCTCTCGTTGTGCCCCCCCCCCCCCCCCCCCCCCCAACCCTACCATAGTCGCTGACACGCTTCCTTGTTGTGAACTCTATTGTACAGGTCACGCACCAGCCTTGAGATGGCCCTCTATAACCACTACATCAGGATACTGAGGCTGGTAGGAGGTACTGTGCCGGTTCGTTTGCGACATTTCAAGCCACCGACAATTTGGGTGTTCTATACGACTACCAGATTTCACCAGCACTTTTAAGCGTGCATGACGAACGCGAATACCTGCTTATAGTATAGTCTTCGAACCTATCTGAGTGTGTACATGCATGCAGACGTAAGCTGTCACTGATTCATTCTCTGATTGGTGTTTTTGTTCGCCCTAGATTTCGGGGGAGGTGGTTCTTCAGCGGCCAGCAGACATCCGGGTAATGGTTGGCACAGCAGCAAAATAGTTGTATGTGGTCGCTGTTCGAGATTCGTGCCTTCAGTAGTTCGGACTTTTGTCGTCTTTCTTTGGATATCGTTGGATTGTTAGACTACACTTGCAATTTGACAGATAGTTCTTTGCATATCTACATATTAATGCGATACAGGAGCACGTGGCGAATGGAGACTGGGAAATCGTAGAGGATGAAGATGATGTGCCTATCCAGTTTATGTCGTACTTGAGTGACTCAGATCTTGAAAAGATGGAAACTCAGTGTATCAATATTCTTGAACATCCTACTCCAGTCATAGATCCGTCACCATTTCAGGTATCGCAGAAGTCAATATTTAAGTGTTTGTGATCACTGAAATTCTATCGTAGCTAAAAGGCTGCAATTTTATTTACATGCGGCTCAAAAATAGATCATATAGATGTAGTTTGCGTATCCGAAGTATACTCATCGCGCATCCTAACAACCGGCTCTTTGCAGGTCGTCATGGAAACGCCTTTTACCGAGGTACACTTCATGTTCACAATGCTGCGGTGCGATCGCTTGTACGTTACAAGCAAAGGCCAGCTGAAAGGAGTGATTGAATTGGCTGATTTATTGCAGTCAATAGACGATTAAATTCGGATATTAGTTTATAGGTGGGCGACACCGTTGTATTCTAGTTTGTCCAGAGCTCTCTGTGGAGCTTCTGCTGAGCCGAATAAGAGGTCTCAGTATTGTCATATTATAGGATAGGCAGTTCTATAACGACCAACAATACCATTCATGGACCAATATATATCAGGCCCTTTAACTTTTTATCTCTGTGAAGAAGCAGTACGTAGCTCGGAATTGGACCGTCGGAAGATAATTTATCCTATACTTTATTTCCGCAAAAAGTCCAAGATCGATGCTGGGTTGCGGTTTTGTATTACACTTTCGCCATTGAGAATACTGTTGCTCATAGGCTTCGCGTCTGTCAGACTGAACGCTAGTGGATCTAAATTGCTGTTGCCTCGTGGCTCTGAATGGCTGGTTAGCATGCTGCTATCCTTAGTTGCGGCCATATCACCTGTGCGAGGGGGGTCTATCGCGGATTGCGATATACATATGTTGTTCACATCTGGAAGCCTCGACCCCTCTAGTGTCTCTACTTGGTACTCGTGGAATCTCCTGGCCCATGCAAAGTACTCGTCCGGGTTGTGTGAGACCGACTTCGTATTTACAAAAACGACGCCGGTGTTGCAAGTTCCATCAACCTGAGGAATTAAGTAGAATAGTCTTTAGTTTGACACGGCGCAACACTAAAAAGTCTGTACCAAATCAACATAAGACGCGGTTATGATCCGACAAAGCCTCTTAAAAATTAAAACAGCTAGTGGGCAATAAACCGCCACCGAAAACACGTGCACATCTTCCGCCCAACTCTTACCAAATCTTTTGTTGCGCTTGCTTGGTCGCACGGTATGAGCTGGCCTGAATTCTCTCTATTGCACGCTATAACTACTAGTCCCGATTCCTGGATAGCTTTCGGCAATACCGGAGCATCCTCCAAGATCCAATGTGGGATGAACATACCTGAACGGCCGGATATGAACAAGCAGGCGATAGTGTAGTGAGCTTACACAAGAAGGGAAACGACTAACTTGTAGAACGATCTGTTGCTTGTAAAGTCAACCAGAAGAACAGTGTCGCCGACAGCAAAGCAGAATAAAAACATACCCAACAAGAGATGCTCGTTGCAGAATTTCAGGGACCCCTGTATCGAAGATTGACTGTCTTTGGCTGTCGAGACAAAGAAGACTGGGAATTTGGGCTGCTTCAGACTCATCATAATGCACACATCTCTCGACTCGGATGAAAGCATGATCGGTCTACGTCCCACATGGCGATAGAGCGTAGATAGTACACTATCCACCAGCATGTTGAGGCCCTTTTTATTAGCTGTCAGGCATGTACAGTGAGAAAATAAGTCAATGTTTCGTCATATATACCTTCTGGCGACTCATATAACAAAAAGACAGGAGCGTACGCAAATAGCACAACCAACCCCTTCAATCTGCGATTGATCAAAACTTTATGCTACGCATACCAAACACCGCCCACAAACCTTCGGTTTCATCGCCAGTTTTGATCGATATATTGAAGCCAATATGCTCGGGAACTGTGTTGAGTGCGGACTCTAGAGAGTACACAGTCGGACTGTCGCTTCTATTCTGTGAAGACAGTATGTTCGTGAACTGCTCAGCTGTCACGGACGATATCGGGAGACGTAGTTTGGACCCAGCAATATCAACGGTGATATCCTGTCCTCTATGTGCCACCACAACTCCATCACTTGTTACCTATGTATCGGGAACATAATGTAGGTATGTACTTACGGTTAGGTTCGATTTCGTGACAACATACCAGGGTCGATGATCCCAACTTTTATTTCCACTTGCGAATCAACAAAAACAGCAGGAACACCCACGAAGAGTTTAACCTTGACACTACGCCAACCTCAAAGGAAAGAAGTGCTGTATGTGAGATTTGAGACTGCGAAGATGGAATACACGGAAATATATTCTATCGCTGCGCCCGTCACGAATAAAGCTTACCTGCACTCCCACAATCACATAGGCAGAATCGAGCGATGTGTCAGCTATAACGGAATAAAATCCGTTGCCCGATGCTGATTCCAACAAGGGTAAGAACGCCTTCTCGAGAACCTGTTTGTTCGATGGAAATCGAACTGTGATCAGTATGTATTCTGACACAAAGGTGGCGGCTCAGGCCGTCGTGGAGCTGATCATGTGCCGTAAGTGTACATAAGCAATAAACTTGTAGTAGGAACCCACACTCCCATAAGCATACCCCTCAAATAAAAACCATATAGCAAAAACGGTCGTGTATGCCACTAGTATTCGCCACCATTCCAAATCGACGTAGAAACCGACCTGTGTCGACTTCCAGTAGGTGTTGGTTTCCGGCAGAGTTCTATTCAGCGGACTGATCACCAGATACGTCAGCAGGATTTCGCAAACAAAGGAGAGGTCCTTTCCTATGATCGCACAGGACACAACGCCGCTCTGATCTTCGAACGATGCTGGTGGGAGCACCCCTTTGCCGATAATACCGCTTTGCTGGCTCTCGAAAGCGGGATGCAGCTCGATCTGTAACGAGAAATCATCTCCGCACCCAGCCGTGAAGATCAAGGGCTCCTCCTCGAGATCGATGGGCAACATGACCATCTGCTGCTCCCCTGGGTTGGCCTGCAGCGACACCATCAGCCGCATGGACAAGAACTCGTTCTTCAGCGGCAGGAACGTGGCCAAACTCGACCGCCCCAACGCCGGCGGCTGCACTTCCTGGCCTTGCATGTGACCCGCGGAGGCGCCTCCTTGGCGTATTTGAGTGGTATGCCCCAGGCGAATCCGCAATTGGGTTTCTTTGAGGTAAGAGTGTCCGTAGTGCCGGAACGGGACCGCTGGAGGCGGCAGTTCGAATGGCGGTATGCTTGTGTCATCTGCACCGGCGCTCGGGGGTGCTGTATTCGTGACCTTCTTCTTCGCCTCCAGCTCGTCAATTGCCGCAGACTGCACCAGATCTTCGGACAGCTGTGGCGTCGGTAGCGACCGCAGCAGCTGCACAACATCCACGTGTCCTCGAAACAATGCGTGTACATGCGGCAGCCACCCGGCAGCATCGGGGCTCCAGTGCACGGCTTTGTATTCGAGGAGAATCCTCACGCATTCCAGATTGCCCTCTGACGCGGCTTCGAACAGAGGGGTGCGTTTCGTACTGGGTTGTACCACATTGACATTGCACCCGCTCTCGAGCAGCACACGCACACACGCCGAGTGCCCCGCACGGGCAGCCACATGCAATGGGGAGAGATGATCTTCGTCACACACCGTCTGATCAGCACCACGCACCAGTAGGAGCTTCGCCATGTCTGTGTGACCGTAGCTACACGCAACAGTTAGCGGTGACATACCCGCCAGGTTGCAGGGTTGGTTGATAGGCACCCCGCCGTCAAGAAACTTGGCAACGCAACTCAGAGAGTTCTGGGCCACGACGTAGAATATGACCAAGTAGCCCTCGCTGTCTGGTATCGTGGTGTCGATCTTGAGTTCTAACAACTAGAGAGGGGGGAGGAAATAGGTGGCATTGGAATGATATGTCAAATCACCGAACCCAACAGCGTCGCTTTCAATGATACTTGCACTTGTAAAGAATGTATCAAAATGGCACGACACATACGGCTCTAAAGGCATACCTTTTCAATAACATCCACATTGCCACCGATAGCCGCATAGTGCAACGAGGTTCGGCCGTGTGCGTCCAGCAGAACGGGATCCGCGCCCCTCTTCAGCAAAAGCTCCACCGTTGCTAGGTTACCATTCTTACTCGCTTTGTGCAGGCCCGACCTACCATGATCGACCGGATCTGCAGAGTCGATATCCGCAAGCTCACTATCCAGTATGGCGCAGATGATCTCTGTGTGGCCCATATCACATGCGCGCAACAACGCAGGTACTGTCCACAGCTCGATGGCCTCCTTAGTCCACATCGTATCGCTTTTGGTCAGATCGGCTTTCATTATCGCGAGTATACTCGACGTGCCGTTGAGATCTCGTGCTGTAACTCGCTCAATCAACTGGCCGTAGCGGTCACTTTCAGAGAGCGAGGGTGGAATCACAGACGCTGCGTCGGCTGCGCTTTTGCTCAGCACGTCAAGCATGTTCCGCGCACCATCTTGCATTTGTGCCAGTTCCTGTAAATGATGATATTTACAACCGAGTTAGCATTCCACATGATATATAACTATATGTACATATATATATATATATATATATATATATATA